GCATCTAATAATAGACCATTAGTAACGCTAGCATATTGCATCAGGTTTTAAGGAGCCAGGGGCCGTACGCTGCGCCTATGTGGTAGTGTAATCTGGGGGTGGGGGGGGGGGCTCTTCAGAGCGCCCCTCTACGTCACTGACACATGGGTGGTCACCGAAGTGTGTTCTACCTCATTATTTCGCTGAGTGATTAATATGCACTAAAGGTTTTCATACGGTAGTATAGGAAAACCCGTGTCCCGATAATTATTATCCAAGCGCAGGCATTGTTAACATTTAAATAACACAGTTTTAGATAAGAAGGACACGCGTCTAAGAACATATGATTGGTAATGCATTGGTTATATCGTTCTAATATATTTCGTCAGACTTTCTTCTATCCCCGCGGCAACGCGCGGGTGGGGCGGGTACGCTAGTAGTAAATATATTTTAACAAGTAGGCTCTAACTAATTAGACTAATCATTTATTATACTAGGTGTATGTACTATGTAGTGCCCTACTAACTAATTACTAACTAAGGACTAAGATTAACTATTTACTATAATCTATATGACTAGTCTCTAAAACTAGTCTATACCAGCTACACATTTATAATATAAACTATGGGCCTAATTTATTTAACTTATCTATTATTACTATTAACTTAAAATACTTCAATAAACTAATTTTTTTTAAATTATTTAATATAGATTTTTATAAAATATATAACTTCTAGATCTAGAATCTAGATCTAGACTAGACTAGAGTAGATCTCTACAACTTGACGTGTACTTAATACTAATTCTAATAGATCTACTGTCATACAATATATTTATATAAAGTTACTTAATTATAAGTCGTATAAGATCTATAGATCTAGATCTCTAGTTAGTATTAGATGGCTGATATATAGATCTAGATCTAGTACTAGATATAGTAGTATTCTCGATATAAATTATAAATCTATCTATTATCTACTATCTAGTCTAGATAATCTAGATCTAGATCTAGATTCTCGATATAAATTATAAATCTATCTAGTCTAGATAATCTAGATCTAGATCTAGATTTTATTAGATCTAGACTCTAGATCTAGATCTAGAAACTTATAGACACTTAATAATAGATCTATCTAGATCTAGATCTAGATCTAGATCTCAGCTTAGACTAGAGCACTCAGTGTGAGTAGTCACAGGCCTAACAAAAATAATGAAACGTGTGTTAAAAACATAAAAAAATAAGCCAATTATAATGAAAAGGGATACAAACGAATTTTAAAAGCCTGAATCGAACTGAAAATATTCCCTTGTTCGCCATTTTTTTTCTTGGATCACCTTGTCCGTATTTATCGTGGAAAATAAATGTTATGACTTCCATCGTTTTACTCTCCCTGGCCAGTTCAGTTCAAGGTGGGGTTGAGGGCGGTTTTATTAAATATTTAAATTTATACGATAATTCAAAATCATTTTCAACGGCTTATGTTCAACACAAAAATATGAAAATGAGTGTAATCGATGGTTCCTAATCTACTTTAATTTTTAAAATTGTAGCTATAATTTTATAGCTTGACATGTTTTTTTAAATTTTTTTTTTTAAAATTTAGTATGATTAGATAGACTTTTCCTATCTATTAGCATGAATATTTTAAAGGCACGTAACTATATTTCAAAAGTCGGTATTAGGTTGATTTTTTTTGCGTTGTAAGCATCTGTTTTACAAGGAACGTATTATAATGAGAAAACATAATGCTTTCATGTGTGAGTCAAACAACATCAGATGTCATGCTGTCTTTATGAAAGGGGAGCGAAACAACTGAAGAGGACAGACTAATTTGATGAGAGTCAGACATCAGAGCGTCGTTATATGAGTCAGACAGCAGAGCGTCAGACACCATATGGTCGTTATGTGAGTCAGACTCATAGACTGTCGTTATGTGAGTCAGACTCACAGACTGTCGTTAGGTGAGTCAGACAAGATAACGTCGTTATGTGAGTCAGACAAGAGACGGTTGTTATGGGATTCAGACAACATAGCGTCGTTTTGTGAGTCAGACACCAGACTGTCGTTATGTGAATAGGACAAAAGAGCGTCGTTCTGTGAGTCAGACAACAGAGCGTTATTTGATTCAGAAGAAAGAGCGTCGTTACATTGGTCAGACAAGAGACTGTCGTTATGTGAGTCAGACAACATTACGTCGTTATGTGAGTCAGAAAACAGAGCGTCGTTATGTGAGTCAGAAAACAGAGCGTCGTTATGTTGGTCAGACGAAAGACTATTGTTATAAGAGTGAGACAAAAGACCGTCGTTGTGTGAAGTAAAAAAGATTTTTTTTATGAGAGTTGAACAACAGAATATCGTTATGTGAGTAAGTCACATAATGTCGTTATTTCAAATATCACACGGTCGTTATGTGAATGAGACAACAGATAGTCATTATGCAAGTCAGACAGCAGGCGGTTTTAAAGTTAATCAGACACCTGGCTGTCGTTATGTGAGAATGTCTCAGAGTGCTGTTGTTTCAGACAACATACGGTCGTTATGTGAGACAAAAGCGGTCGTTATGTGAGTCAGATATATATATATATATATATATATACATATATATATATATATATATATATATATATATATATATATATATATATATATATATACACATATATAATACACATATATTAAATATAAATAAACTTCTTGGCTATACCTCATTTACCTCTATTGTGGCGATTTTTAAATTATTTGAATCGATAAAATAACTCAAACAGATTTTCAACGGTATATATTCAATACACAAATATGAAAATGAGTGTAATCGATGGTTCCCAAAAAGCTTTAATTTTTACTAATGTAAATATAACTTTGAAGGCGATATTAATTGCATAGTTCGATTTTTCTAAATGAGTTATGAAAAAAAATCTCTATTCTTATATATATATATATATATATATATATATATATATATATATATATATATATATATATATATATATATATATATATATATATATATATATATACTAGCGTACCCAGCCGCGACAACTTTGCTTCAAATATTATAGAGATTAGCAAATTGCATAGATAAACAAAGATTTCCAAAGTAGTTCCTTTCTTTATAGTCTAAAATAGGAAGATTCACATATAAAAAAAAATAAATAAAAATAAATTAGGTTTGACTTGGTGTGTCTTGATCCAGCACCAGCTGTCTGGTATCAAGTACACTATCATCTCAGCTAATTAGGTACCTTTTAAAATATGGAGAATAAAAGAAGTATTTAAAACAATAACTTGCACTAATATGCCTATTTTTTTCAAATTATTTTTTTTACCCAAAATTAGCCAGTTTCATTGCTAAACAAACAAAGATTTCTATAAAATATTTAAGTCCTGAAAAAGTTTATTATAGAAATTTCTTTTTGGAATAGATTCTACAGTAGATGGAGTCTAAATCTAGATCTAGAATAGATCTTAGCGACGTAGCGTCTACGTCAAGTTTTTGCGTAGATTTAGATCTAGTCTAGATCTAGAATCCAAAACGATAAAATAATTTTTTAAAGTTTAGGCCGAGAATATCGTATTGTATAGTCTACATTTCATAGCGTACATAGCTCTAAATCATATTTGAATGAAATAGTTCATTTCTTTTTATTCTAAACTCGGAAGATGACGTCATCAGTTTCTTGCTCTTTTTTTAGTGTAAATAATAAGCGACGTCATTATTAAATGCGTTCTTGTCCCAAGTTTATACACTTTTCCGGTTGCATAAATAAAATTGTTCTTCTACATTCGAATAAGCCTTTATTTTTAATTTTTCTTCTTTAAATAAAATTGTGGTTATACATTTAAAACATCTAACATATTATTTTCAACAAAAGTCCGTATAAAGTTCTCGATATATCGCTGTAGATTCTGATGTGATGTCCGGCGAAAATATTTTGCGGACAGACAGACAGAGAGAGAGAGAGAGAGAGAGAGAGAGAGAGAGAGAAAGAGAGAGAGAAATGCGAACGTGGCCTATTATATATTAGGATACCGTATATAGAAAAAACAAATCGCGCCCTGTGGGAGCGCCACCCCTGCGAATTTGAAATATTTTTTTTCGCAGAAACCTCCCCAGGAATATTCTCAACAACTTCCCAAAGTTTCACGGCGATGTGATGAGAGGTGTAGTAATGCATAAAGGACACACAGACACACATACAGACATACATTGCTTTATATATATATATATATATATATATATATATATATATATATATATATATATATATATATATATATATATATATATTTATATATATATGGTAATCTATCGTTTTGGGTACGTAAAATCGCCCGCGACTTGTAATGTGAAAACCAGGTGACTCCTTAAATTTTAATAATTATATAACATTTTGAGGAGGATTTATGTTTTTTAAAATACAAAAATGTTTCCTTGTTTCATTTATGTACCTGTTTTTAAACAATTGAATTATAACTTTTCTGTAATAAATGAAGACTAGCGATGTTTCCAACAGATGTAACAATGCTCATTTACTATAGCAGCCATCTTGTTTAAGTTTTATTTTTATAAGCTTTTAGCGGGAGATTCAGGGGGAAGCCACTCTATTTTACAAATGGCTGCTGTTTATTAGTTTATATAGCAAATCTTGCTCTCAGACACTGCTGTTTAAAGTTAATTTCTGGCCTATATTGATATATTTAGCCATTGATTTAGGTTTATTATTTATTTATCTATAATATTTGACACAAACATATGACAATATACTCCTATTAAAGCCTTGAAAATGAGGTAACGTTTTCGTACATTAATAGCCGCGGGCGATTTTACGTACCCAAAACGATAGATTACCATATATATATATATATATATATATATATATATATATATATATATATATATATATATATATATATACATTAATTATCAAACAACGAAAACAGAAAATCAAAATCAATACAATATGAAGTTGTGTGTCTGAATGTTGTTTGGATAAAATAATAACATAACATGTTATTTTTTCAAGATATATTTAATCAAAGTTTACCGATGGTTTACATCAGTATAACTAAGAGCCAGAAAAAAGATGGCTTATCTATATTCTCTTGGCTGTTCGCCTAGATATCGACTTTGGGAGGCTCCAACTTCACTAGAGGAACATCGTTGGCCAGAGTCTTGGCGATGTGGGTAGCGTTCTGCCGTATTACATTACGGTCATCCGCCACGGCTGCTCGCTTGCGTAGCTTTGCCGCATCCCAGCGGAAATCAACGCTTTTGCCCATGACTTCATCGAACCTACCAGTTATCTTAAAGACGTATCTATTTTCATTTAACAAAGCATTTATTACAGGTTTAACATTCGGGTATTTGTTTGTCATGTCGTTCCACAGCCAGGGCTGTAGGTTAGTTTCGCTTTGCTGTTTCAAGGCTGTGTAAAAAGGTGTGCTTGAATCGCCGAATCGGTAGTTAAAAGTGGGGCGGTTGTTGGTGCCGCGATACTGAGAGTGGAAGTTATTCTCGAGACGTAGAAAACCTTGGAGTTCGGTGGAAAACTTGACTATAACAGTTGCTGTGTAGGTCACAGAAGTTCTGGTTTTGGACATAATAAGACTCCATTTTGCAGCAGACTTTGCCTTCAGAGTTTTTGATGTGCTAACTGTGAATGTTTTCGACTGCTCTTTTTTGGTTTCATCAGTTGTAGCTGTGGTGGTCTCATATTTAAACGAATAGCCGGCAGAAGCTCCAAAACCTCCTATTGTATACATGACCTGCAGACCAAGCTCATGACTGTTTGTCCAAGAACTGGTTGTAGTGTGTGTGACACTACGGACAACAGTCTCAGCTCGCTCAATGGTCTTAGTAACTTCGTTTGGGTCATTGTTATATATCGTACCAGAGTCAACCGTTTCGGGTGTTAATTCTTGTGTTACAGGTGTTCCATACTTGATGTCCTTAAGCGCAAAGCTCCAATTACCATAGACCATGCTCAGACGTTTATCGCTCATCAAACCTTCACAGCGCGCACTTTTATCAGCAGCCCATGTGTCGGCGCTTCGTCTAAAGTCTTCCCCAACATTCGCGGCTCTACATCCTTGACAATAGCTATAACCCAAATAGTTTGCTAGTGACGCAATATTAGACATAGTGGTATCCATAATGCGGGTCTTTACTTTTTCTAGTGAATTCAACTCTTCCGGTGCTGTAGCGGTCTTGCAACATCGAAGTTTATCAAGGCAGTTGAGTTTATCACAACTACCGCGATAGATGCCGGTAACAAAGTAGGTGTCGTTACATTTACAAAGGCCTTTGTTATCAAAACATTTTGAGATATCATGGTCATAGCAATGTCCGTAGGATGGTGGGTGATCCGCTGGCCTTGAGCACCTACCGTCGTCAATGTTACTCAACAGGCCGATCTTGTTGTCACTCCTATACAAGCCAGTCATAAAATAACCAGCAGGACAGGTGGACCAGGTATTGGTTCTGTCCATCGTTGCCCAATCAGCGTACAGAGTGTGTGTATCGTTGCTCCAGGTCGAATTTCTGCTGCAGCATTCTACTTCGTCTAACAAATTCAACGGGTCATCGGTTGTTTTATCTTTCCTAGATAAACCCGTAATGAAATCATTTAAACTTGTACACTGTGAGTGGCCCTGCCTGGCCATACTTGACCGCCAATCAGACCTGCTGCAACCAGCATCAGCTTTCATGATCATCAGAGCCAGAAATAACAGTGCTCTGGTCGATAACATTTTTCAATCTATGAAATAAGATCGATAAAAACCTAGATAACAATTAAAGAATATTATATATATATATATATATATATATATATATATATATATATATATATATATATATATATATATATATATATGTGTGCAATATACAAGGCTCAAAGTGAATTTGTTTTACATAGGACGGGCAAACGTTTTTCGCAGGCACGGCTAGATTTTAAAAAATTGACTTACTCGCTATCTATATATATAATTCTCTTCTGAGAGACGCTAGAAAACAGGTGCGCGGACCTTCGACCACAGGTGCTTTGACCATAGGGGCTTTGACCATAAGGGGGTTTGACCACAGCGGGCCTTTGACCATAGAGGTGCTTTGATCATAGGGGGTTTGATCATAGGGGGTTTGACCATAGGGGGTTTGACCACATGTGTTTTCTCAGCAGAGGGTCTTTGATCACAGGTGGTCTATCAACTGGTGTTTGATCACAAGCGCTGTGTCCGGCTTTTATCATAGGTGTGATACAATTAACACGATTTTATACATGTTTCCTGAGAGTATGTTAATAGAAATTAACATGTATTTTTAAAAAGCCTAGAACTATATTTTAGTCTCCACATAAAGGCTGGTGCTAGGCCTCATAGATTTATTTTAAATATAAATGAAACACAAATAATGCGACATATAACAAGTTTCACAAATAAATAATGTAGATGTACTTGAAAATATATAGCATATATAAAGGATAAAAAAAGGATACGTGCTATACTCTCCAAGATTCTCCATGGTTTTGACATAGAGTTGTTTAGATGACTTGTATTTATACATGGTGATTTAACATATTATTACATCATGTCGAAATTTAAAATATAATTTAGCAACTTTTAAAATAAATCACTACAATATATGGACAGCATTGGACAAACCACCTGAGATCAAAGACCCTATGTGGACAAAACATCTATGATCAAAGTCGGACGCAGCGCTTGTGATCAAACAACAGGCCGATCTTGTTGTCACTCCTATACAAGCCAGTCATAAAATAACCAGCAGGACAGGTGGACCAGGTATTGGTTCTGTCCATCGTCGCCCAATCAGCGTACAGAGTGTGTGTATCGTTGCTCCAGGTCGAATTTCTGCTGCAGCATTCTACTTCGTCTAACAAATTCAACGGGTCATCGGTTGTTTTATCTTTCCTAGAGAAACCCGTAATGAAATCATTTAAACTTGTACACTGTGATTGGCCCTGCCTGGCCATACTTGACCGCCAATCAGACCTGCTGCAACCAGCATCGGCTTTCATGATCATCAAAGCCAGAACAAATTGTGCTCTGACCAATAACATATTCGAATCTTTAAAGAAGATCGGTAAAAACCTGGATAACAATTAGACAATCTTATATACATATATATAATAATACGGTTTAGACGTGTAAAATAGCCTTTCTATTTAGGCCTAGAAATTTATTGGGTAAGGCACGTAAATGGTTTGCTCAGAAAATACAAACACTTTATTTTTATCGGTTCTGAACCCCAGTCTTATTTGAAAACTGCAGCACTTTCGGTTCGCCAACGCCAGGCTTAAAAAAAAAAAGAAATACCTAAGTATTTCTAAACACATACGTAATATTACCTTAGTACGAAGCTTCCGTCAGTGTGCTGTGTCCGACACAAGAGAAGACAGTAAAAGACTGAAGATCTTTTATAGTGAAAAAACACCCGCAGATCAAGCTTACATTCATATGCATCAACTCTTTACAGCCTTGTTTAATTATAAGCTACGACCTCTCTCAAGTACTTAATTAATCATTCAGTTAGACTGGGCAGTCAGCCAGTAGGCAAATGTGAATTGTTTACTTTGTACAGAAATGCAAATATTTAGCAGTGAAAATATTTTGTGTAAACAATCGTATTGCATTGTCAAAGTCGATATAATAAAATTGGTTAAAATATTTTCAATTAGGATAGGTTATGTTAAGTTAGGTTAGATTATGTTGGGTAAAGTTAGGTTAGGTTATGTTAAGTTAGGTTAAGTTAATTTAGGTGTAGTTTAAGTTAGGTTAAGATAAGTTAAGTTAGGTTAAGTTAGGTTAAGCTAGGTTAAGCTAGGTTAAGTTAGGTTAAGTTAGGTTAAGTTGGGTAGCTAGGTAAACGTAGGGTAATGTTAGGTTAGGGTAGGTTAGGGTATGTTTGTGTATGGAGGTTAGGTTAGGTTAGGTTAGGTTAGATTAGGTTAGGTTAGGTTAGGTCGGATCAGATCAGATCAGGTCAGGTCAGGTTAGGTTAGGTTAGGTTAGGTTAGGTTAGGTTAGGTTAGGTTAGGTTAGGTTAGGTTAGGTTAGGTTAGGTTAGGTTAGGTTAGGTTAGGTTAGGTTAGGATAGGATAGGATAGGTTAGGTTACGTTAGGTGAGGTTAGGTTAGGTTAGGTTAGGTTAGGTTAACCTAGGCTTGTCTAGGCTAGGATAGGCAAGGCTAGACTAAGCAAGGCTAGGTCAGGTCAGGTCAGGTCAGGTCAGGTCAGGTCAGGTCAGGTCAGGTCAGGTCAGGTCAGGTCAGGTCAGGTCAGGTCAGGTCAGGTCAGGTCAGGTTAGGTAAAGTTAGGTTCGGTTAGGTTAGGTTAGGTTAGGTTAGGTTAGGGTAGGTTAGGCTAGGTCAGGTCAGGTCAGGTCAGGTCAGGTCAGGTCAGGTTAGGTTAGGTTAGGTTAGGTTAGGTTATGTCAGGTCAGGTCAGGTCAGGTCAGGTCAGGTCAGGTCAGGTCAGGTCAGGTTAGGTTAAGTTAGGTTAGGTTAGGTTAGGTTAGGGTAGGTCAGGTCAGGTCAGGTCAGGTCAGGTCAGGTCAGGTCAGGTCAGGTCAGGTCAGGTCAGGTCAGGTCAGGTCAGGTTAGGTTAGGTTAGGTTAGGTTAGGTTAGGTTAGGTTAGGTTAGGTTAGGTTAGGTAGGTTAGGTTAGGTTAGGTTAGGTTAGGTTAGGTTAGGTTAGGTTAGGTTAGGTTAGGTTAGGTTAGGTTAGGTTAGGTTAGGTTAGGTTAGGTTAGGTTAGGTTAGGTTAGGTATAATACATAATGTATGTCTGAAATGTCTGCATATGCAAATATTTTCAATTTGTGGAAAGAATTTGTTTATGCAAAACGAAATAAATTTTCTGAATTAAAACAAAGGGGGAGAGCTTTTGAACGAGCGTTCTTTTTGTCCATTTACATAATTGTTAAATGCAATGAGACAGCGTGTGATACGGGCTTTGCCTATCTAAATGTATAAGAGCGTCGCGGTATTTATAACATTGTTTAACACAATTAGACGTCTGTTGCCATCTAAGCAAATAAGAACTATGACACATGTAGCCGTTTTATAATTCAGCGACCACTACACAGCATGCACATTCAGCACAAATTCGTCGTGGTCGAGTTGGTAAAGCTCATGGTTGCTAAACCGAAAAGTCTCGAGTTCGAACCCTCGGGCAGATGAGGCTCGTTAGTTTGGGGACAGGAGAGACAACTCCAAAATCAAACAACTGCTGCCTTGTAGTTTGTTCTTGATTGGACAAAGAGCTGTGGAAGCAAATCCAAAAAGAAAAGCAGGCTGAAATCGGGGTCAATGGCCTCAATAGCGCATGACCAGTTGTAACCCTTATATGTGATGGAAGCATGGTCGAATCGGCAAAGCTTATGGTTGATAAATTCGAAAAAAGTCGAGTTCAAACCCTCTGGCAGATAAGGCTCGATCCCTCCTAACAATAAAAAATTAGGAACGAAGAGGAAGAAAGAAGAAGAAGCACATATAATTTTTACACGCTTGGAACATAATTCAGGCATTAAGGGGTTAAAAATTGAAACTTCATTTTACACCAGGTAAATAACTGCTTGTTAATTCTAACGTTAGTCATGCAGTCGCTGGTCTAGAACCAGTTAAAACTAAGACTTCACTATTGTTACACTATACAACTCTACACACTTTTAATCTTTCAATCAGTATACATGTAAATCTCTCCATCAATGTGTCAATGTAGTAATAGCACTTCACTAAACTTACATTATAACTTGGGAAACATTAATTAATATCTAATTTGCTATTTACACTTTGCGAATCGCACCCTCTTCACAAAACAGCCACCTAAGTTCCCACTCATATCACATCACAGAGGCTTGTGCAGGGCGGATAATTAGTAAATAAAACATCAACCTTGTAAGCATTGGGTTGGGTTAGCTTTATTATAAAATGAACTCTATTAAATTTCCGTATGCTTAATACATAAAGTAAAATTAGATTATATATATATATATATATATATATATATATATATATATATATATATATATATATATATATATATATATATATATATATAATATATAAAGTTCAATTCTGTATGTAAAAATAAATTGTTTTTTTTCGTGGACATACTTTGATGGATTTAAGTGTTAGATTATTATCGTGCTCACAGTCTAAATTTATGTAATACTGAAAGTGTTGGGAAATAATTCTCATTTTTCTAACTAACAGTAATAATTGTCGGCATGTTCATTAAACACAATTTTTTTTTTAAAATATCATCTTTTACAAAAATTCTAATTATGTCTGAAAATTATTTATATTTAGTCCTTTAGCATTTACTTCCCTTTGATAAATTAGGAAAACACAATTCCTTCCCTTTATAAACATTGCATTCGCGGAAAAGAATTTACTTTTTATTAATTTGTTTTGGTGTTGGGAAAAAAATTACATAATTACCGGGGATTGATAAGGTGCAAATGTTGTAGGTATTTTACGGCTAAGCTTGGAGTATTATAATTGTTCATTTGGTTTGGTTTGGCAACTACGTTCGTTTAAGTGAGTGCAAAAGATTATGAATAAGTTGGGGTACTATAGTCGTTTATTAAGCTGAAACAGGCGATTCTGTCCCGGGCTAGACTGTTAGCACTTTGCGTTTATATTCGCGTTTGTATTTTCATTGTGTTTAGGTTTGGTTTGCGTTAGTGTTTGCGTTTAGATTTGGTTCATTTTTGTTCTTTCTTTTTTCGTTTCCGTTTCTGTTTTTTTCTTTGGGTTTGTGTTTGTTTTTGTTTTTGTGGTTGGTTTTGCCTTTGGATTTGGTTTGCTTTCGTTTGCTTTTTCGTTTGTTTTTTCTTTGTGTTCGTATTGGTGTTTGTGGTTGTGGTTGGGTTTGTTGTTAGGTTTATGTTTTCGTTTGCTTTTTCGTTTGTTTTTTCTTTGTGTTTGTATTGGTGTTTGTGGTTGGGTTTGTTGTTAGGTTTTTGATTTCGTTTGTATTTGTAATTGTGTTAGCGTTATGTTTGCGTTTTGTTGTTTTGGGTTTGTTTGGTTGTGGTTTGGGTGGGGTTTATGATGATTACTAAACACACAGGTAATGGTCTTTAACAGAAAGGTTTTTTACAGAAGCCAGAGCAGGGCCTTGCCGGGACGGCTAGTATATATATATATATATATATATATATATATATATATATATATATATATATATATATATATATAAAGCCCAAACATCTAAATATATGTTGTATGAAAGACAGCATATTAGTTTACGCTTTGTAATAATGAGTCATACCATATAACGCCATTTGTACAAACAATTCATAGGGCTATTCGGCCCATAATACTTAAATTAGGCCTTTTTGTATAAGCTGGCATTTTGCCTATTTCATTTTTTGGATTTCGGCCGTTTTTAATCAATCTTTAAAACGCAGTATGTCTTACTTTGTTGTACAGTAAACTTATTTCTCTCTCGTAAAATGTTTTACAAAAGATTGCTGAATTATTCATCGACAGTATTAACCTAGTTAACAGTGTGTTTAAGAATGTCGCTTTCCAGTTGAAGTCATAAACAATAAGCCAAACGACACGTTAAAATAAGTGGAACTTCAAAGATAAATAAATACTAAACAGTAGCTTGGTTTTGTCAATGGAAGAAAGCGGTATTTCAAAAAATCAAATGTTTCTGTTAAGCAAAGATAGTGTTCGATGGTAAACAGTGAATACAAGAATATATCTATACACATACTTGTTCATATACATTTGTTAAATATATAAAACAAATACATGTCTTCTACATGTTAAGGTGCGCAAGTTGTTATGGGCATATGCATATGCATATGCATACGCATACGCATACGCATACGCGTTCGTATACCCATACATGTGGAAACATTTTTTAATTAAAACAAGGGCCACGAGGTTCCCAGCCTTTAAAGGAAAGATATTACATTTTTTAAAGATATTATTTTTTAAAGAAAACATTTTTTTAAAATACTTTTTGCATCCTTATTAATATACGAGATAAATGGCCCTTTGAGGAAGGATACAACGGGCGCTCGTTGTCTTTTTCCTTTAAACAAAAAAAAAAACGCAACAACCTTACCTCAAATTAAACCGGAAACGCAAAATGACATTGAAAACGGATTTGTATAAATAAGCAATCTTCACGTAGTTATTTATACTTAATATAGTCGCAGCCATACCCCTTAACCATACACCTGATCTTAATAAATGATACAAGTCGCATTTATAGAGGATCGACGACATCATTTATTTTTAGTTGGAGGAGGGGGTGGCGACTTAAACGTTCTTGCGCGGGGGTGGGGCTTTGCCCTTACCCGAAAAATTGTATTAAAGAAACCTTGCACGCAAACCACTTCTAATATGTCGTAAGGGTGTTGTACCTCAACCTTTTAGATGTTGTTCAACGTAAACTGAATTTATTGTTCTTTTTAAACTTTCTCGTTTTCGTTGTTATCGTACAGAGTACATGAAATCAAAATTAAAATGTTCATACATCTCGACGTTTCATACTCAATGAGTTTGAAAAAAAAAACCTTTTATCGCAATTTAGTCTGTGTGTTTGTGTGTCTGTTTCAGCCACGTTGACAAAATTTTATAAATAGGTACAATATGAAGTTTGAATAAGTATGTCTAAAATCCAATAGCTTGATTGCTGTTTTAGTAAGGTAGACGAAATTTAACAAATAAGTAAAATATTTTATGTTTTAGTTATAAAATTACTGTTATAGAAAATAACACTTAACGCTACTCCAGATTTCTCCAAAAAACCATTTGGATTTAAAAATTATATAGAGCCTGGCATGGGCGGAAACCTACGAACACTAGTGTGGACACTGTTAGCGGATTGATTAACTTTTCAAGCAGGCCAAGGCAAGGAGCATAAATATAGTGACAAAATGGTACATAATTAGCTGATTAATTAACTTTTTACAATATCATTTAAGATTTTCATTATTCAGTACTAATTTTCCTATATATTTTATTCACAGACTGTTTACTGTTCGTTTTGAAAACATGTCTATAGGATAACTACACGGGAGTTGCTACCGTAGTTCCAAGTGTGACTCACATGACAACAGCTTCATGTTTTTTACTTATGCAAATGCGAATTGAATTGGAAATAAGGTCTGAGTAGATCGGAAAACCCAACAGTTAACATAAATAACTATAGATAAAAAGTAGTTTGCATAAAATGAATTTCGAATAGAGTTAATAGGGTCGGATGGGGGTAAAACATTAAACAACACCCTTTGTGCTGATGCCAGTAACAATTCGAATATGCTAAACAGGCTTACGAAGCTATATGTTAACAATAGCAGGTAGACGATGTGATAATCTTTTGACTGAAGGTGGGTTAGTTAGAAAAGCGATAATTCGTAAAGTCAGTTTTGTATAATGTTATGTATTTTGTTAGGTAGTTCAGGAATAAGCTTGATGTGACATTTTGTTGTGGTTTATGCAAAACGGTGATTAGTGTGCGCGTGTAATGAGGAACGAGTATAGTTTTGGAAATGCTTGAGACTTAGTAAATGTGTCGCGAAAAAACTGGGGTGTTAATGTATTGTGTGCAAGATGAATATATTTTTTACTTATGTTTTGTTGCATACAGTGTAAACAAGATCTAGAGTACTGACCAACTGAAGTAAAAAGTAAATTTTATTATATATAATGTATTTATTTCTTTATTTTTACTTATTTAGTCAGGTATTAAAATTTATACGTTAAAGATTTGTTTTTAGTATGTATCAACTGTGTGCTACATAACAGCAAATTAGCCGTGTCAACTTATTCCAACAAACTGCTTAAACAAGTCACTTCATTGAAAGACTATTTTGTATATGTCCGAGACCCATGGTCTTCAGTCAAGTTGCGTTCCGAACTTAAGTCTATTGGTAATTCGGATCTCGACAAACAATAGCCTAATTTTAGCGGTAACCAAAATGCCCATGTAAAACGTGATATACACAATAACTCTAGCCTAGTCTTTGCATGGCCATGTTTATGATAATTCAAATATATTGTTTTTTTTTAATTTTGAATTTTAACTGAGTAATAATTTTAATCGTTATGAAAAAAATATAGTTTAATTACTATAATTTTTGTTTTTAAAATCTAGCTTGAAAGAAGTAAGGCTTTCTTTTTTTGCCGTCATTGTTTGAGCATCAAATACTCAAAGTACAAAAGCTAGAAACTAAAATGTACAACTTATGAAACAACTTGTGTCAGCTTCAAGCTTCCACTTTATAAATTGCAACAAATTTAGAGCAAATGTAATTTTCTTTTTTTTAACATCCTACCTGAAAATTTACACACACACTCTCACAGCTATGTAACATATGGTACCAATAAAAGGTCGTGGTCTAGTCACATGATAAAACTTATTACATTTATTCTGCTTACCACTATAAATTTAGCTAACAAAACCACGCCGAGAACCGGTGCATCTCAGTAGTTTTTGTTTTCAATTTTTTTCAAGGTAATAAACCATCAGTGTTACTACCACATTATTTAGTATCCATTCTAAAGCTTTTTTTGATATATATATATATATATATATATATATATATATGTATATATATATATATATATATATATATATATATATATATATATATATATATATATATATATATATATATGTATATATATATATATATATCTTTAGAACCATGCAGAAGAATAACACACACACGCAAATACTTTATTTTCTTTAACAGTTGCACTAGTTGAATCATGTGTGGGTAATTTATTGTGTTTTTCATTCATTTGCACTAATCTTAATATTAATTTTATCAATTTAAAAAAAAGACTAGATTGCTGCTCTTTATACAAAGTTCTTTAGTAAGCCCGTTAAATCAAGATTAAACGTTCTAAATACGCCGCATTTTTGTAATAGCATTGATTTTTTAAGCAACGATTTTCACTAAAACATGTGAAAAGAATTGTAAATAAAACAAAATATAATTACCATTTTGACCGACAGGTTTTAAACACCAACAACATGACTCCGTTTTGGATGTTCGTTGTCGGCTAGGTAGTGTGTCGAGGAAATATTTAGCTTGAGTTGATTTAGAAAAAAATAACATCCACTGGTCTAAACATACAAATTTTAAAAGTATTAGTTCTTTTCGCTCTACTGTTTATAAAGAGTACCCATTTATTTCTAGGAACGTATAACATAATATTATTTGAATGAGAAGTTTCGTATGTTTTAGAAATATGTATGTTTAATGATTTCTTTATGTCATTTTGTTAATGTATGTTAAAGGTTTTAAGCTTTCTATAACAAGAACCTAACTCAATACTAGTAAAAAGAAAACGTGATCCAAGTATTTAATGGCATGTTTTGTGTACTTTTACGTTTTCACAATTTAAAGAGATTGTATTTTTTTGCGTTTGCATTGGTCTTTGCGTTTGCGTGTGCATTTGTGTTTGCGTTAGTGTTATGTTTGTGTTTGATATAGTTTTAATTATGGTTAAGGTAAAAGTTAGAGATAGAATTACAGTCAATTACTAATAAGGAAATATTTTACTTAAACCCGGGTGAATGCGAGTGTAGCCTATGCACCTAAATAACCACGGAAGTCAGGGTCCTTTACGTTTTATTTTTTTCTTAGAGCCCAGCGCTTTTTATATAATAAATTTTGAATCACACTTTCCTTACCTTTTAAACTTAACTTGAAAGTCTTATTTTTTAATACTTTTATACAGCCATGGGATGCTAATAAAGACGGCTTTATTAATTTGACCGAGTTCCATAAACTAATCCAAGACGTGCTGCCAGGCTACAGAAACAAAACAGTGGCTTTGTTTAAAATGAGTGACAGCAATAATGACGAGAAACTGGACCAAATCGACAGTTTGTCTCTGATTAAAAAGGCGGATATTAACGGAAATCATTATGCTGAACGCTCTGAGATGGAAGGGTAAAATATGTATAGAGTTGATTATTACGGGTATACAAAATAATGCACATTGAAGTAGATCAATGAAATTTAGGGGCTGGGTGATCGAGGCTGTGACGCTCATAAGGGCGGTAACTTATTTAGGAGAAATAGAATCCAAAATCAAACAACTGCTGTATTGTAATTTTTTTCTTGATCGACAATTGATATGGAAGCAAAATGAAAAGGAAATTCTAAACAGAATCGGACTGAAAAGTGTGTAAAATGCTAAACTGGTTGGTACATCATTTGTTGTATATTCCGTTCAACATAAGAGTAACATTTGAAACTTCTTTTTTAAATTTAAATTAACTGTTATATTAAGATTTAGACAAAGTACGTGTAAATTAAGTAAGCCAAAGATGAGACATATTTTTAGAAATCATAATATGGCGCCGTAGTCTGGTATGACCATTGGAAAATCCAAGCACACAGCATGGGTCTTAGGATGAGAAGAGCCATGCATCGACCCCATCTCAGCACAACTGTTGGATCCTAACGGTCTCTGCCCCAGCAGACAAGCCACGTCTACCCAAATGTTCAAACACCTTTGTTTAATCGTCCGACCAATCTGTCCATACGCATAATGAGACACGTCTATTTATTTTTTTAAAAAGTAACATATTAAATGCATTAATTATCACAATAATCTAATATATGCGGAATTTAATTTTTCCCCAGATTGAGCACATTTCTTAAAGTGTATGCTGTCTTCTATTAAAGAATGAAGACAGTTTGATTGACATAATCAATGTCTTAAAAGTTGAAATAAATGAATATACGATAAATTTGCAGTTGCATTTTTAATAATGAGATATGTGTGGTTTTTTTGGGCACGTGCAAGCGTGTAAATCCGTGTAAGTTCTCTACATATATACTACAGTACCTCACTGCGCTTGCTGCAACCTCCCTGGCGCTGCCCATAAGAAATGTATATTCTTTTCCCCAGAAAACTTATTGGAAGTATTCTAATCAACTTCCCAAATGTTTTAAGGTGATAAGATGAAAGGTATTAAATCTTGCGCCACGCTTGCGAAATTGAAATAATTGTTTTACAGGTACCTCCACAACAATTTTCCATAGTTTTCGGGCGATCAAATGAAGGGTGTAGTAATGCAGTTTAAGGACACACATTCTTTCGTCAACTCAGAGTGCAATGTTTACAACTTTTTGCAATTTTTTTTTCTTTATGTTTTAGACTTACGGAAATTTAATTGAGTTAATTTTACAATCAAAACACAAACCTACGTGACTTTTCGCACCCACTTGCATACACCTATCCACACCATCACTATTTTAAGTACAACGTTCTTTAATCAACACTGAGCGTAATGGTTAATTTTTTTTTACATTTTTCTAATGTCATAAATCTATAAAAAGCTATATAATATCAGTATCGCGTAAATTAGGAAGTTTTTCTATATTACATATATGTAACGAAGTATAAAAGTGCCAAATATCTATATCAGACAAGGTTGCAAAGTATGTCATCATATAGCTTGTAGATTTCCCCTGATTGTTCCCTTAGAGAACATATCTGCCTCACTTCAACATATTACTACGTCGTACTCCCTAACTTACTAATTACTAATGTCTGTATACATATATATATATATGTCTTTATATATATATATATATATATATATATATATATATATATATATATATATATATATATATATATATATATATATATATATATATATATATATTCCACTGGTGAATGAAACATACATCTTTTTGTCTTTTTTTTTTAAATTTTGTTTTTGCATTTCATAGGCAGTCCAATGCTTATTAACTTAAAACTGTAAACATATATTTTTATCGTGTAATGGTAGTTGGTTGGTTGGTTTTTTTTTTAGATTTAGGTACTTTATGCACATTGGAGCGCAATTGTATGCACTGATTATTATAATAATATTAAAAATAAAAAAAAATGGTTATAAATACCTGGCGCATAGTCTAATCTATCATTTATTATATAGTTATAGGCTTGATTCACGCTTAAATGAACTTATAGAATATTGTATAACGTTAGCTATGTGTGCTGAAACAAAATGAAATCGTAGTACCCAAATTAATTTTACTTTTAATTATGACGGAAAATAACAAAACCGTCAGCGATAATTGAGAAGATTTGTGAAGTCAATGTTTATTACATATTTCTCTACATTTGTTATGACATGACTTCTATATTCTATAAAAAAAATAAGCTTAAACCACTGAACAAAGAGTATCATTCTGTTGTATCACATGACGGTCATGACGGTGTAAAATGGTGTGCTTGCGGCTCCGAAAATGTAATGAAACGTGGAGTGGTTGTTGATTCCGTAATACTGGGAGTGAAAGTTATGAAATCATAACAATAATAGCTGCCGTATATACCTCAGATGTCATGGTTTCAAAGGTCTCATGACATGTGAACATGCGGAACATCGTTCACGAAAGAGCATAAAAATTACATCAACAGTTGCTGTTCCACGGTGACCGCAACGACAAATATATTTGGCAAGATCCTACCTAAGGATCATTAAAAAACCCAACTTCCTGTATCAACTGGACTGTGGTCTCCAAATGCCCCATTTTTTTTTCTTTGAGTGGGGTGAGTAGGGGCCAGTGTTTGGCGCCTGGCTACATAAAGAACATTCATGAAGGACACGCTCCGTATTCTCCGGGGCCTAGCCACAAGCGCATATTTCGCCACACCCAATTTTTAGTTTTTTTATGTATGTACTAATTTAGTCTGTTGTGGCCTATTCAGAGTCGAAAGATTATATATTGTTGTTTTCGTGTCAAATTGTAATATCCATTATCTTTTTCATATTTTCTTTCCCCCAATTTTAGCCAGCTTGACCGCAATCTCATTTCCTTGTATCTGGCAGTGGCCCGGGATCCACTGCAGTACAATCCTGCTGCAGGTATTTTTTGCCTTTTAAGTGCTGTCTTAGGTGATTGAGTATAGGACTGGATTTTTTAGGGATTGCAGGACAGATTTAACATCTGTAAGAAATACTATCTGACTTTTTGAAGATTCAGGGTGTTGTAACAAGAGATTTGCTGCATGCTCTAATGCTTTTATCTCTGCTCTAAAATTGTCGAAATTTTGAAGAAATTTTCCATCACGCTCATCTGATAAGATTCACCAATGATTTCGCTTGGCTCGTGCTTTGGCTATTTCCTTCCCAATTGTTTTTGCCTTTGAGGTCGACATCCCATAAGTCTGGGGTACTATAAATAACAGGAGTTTTCCTCCCTCGTGTCAGAGCCTACCAGACATCTATCGAGAGAGAAAGCCACGTAAGACGCCATGTTGTATTTTCTAGTTTAAGCAGCAAGTATCCCTAAATACTTGTGAATTCAGTATTTTTCTGCGCCTCAATTTAATAACGTGTAGGTTGTGTTGATTACTTAAGTACCTTATCCAGTGTTAGTAGTTTCAGTGTGTTATTCTTCAACACACATTTTAGGGTACTTAACCTGTGTACATGTGGCTAATATTTTGGAAGCACCTCTGTAAATGACTAGGCCTTATGGAAAAACTGTTGTTCTGACTCAAAGCTCTCGGTAAGCATTAAAAAATGACCGAGGGTTTAATTCGTTTTATATGAGCTATATTACGAAAAAAACTTTGCCGAACGACACCACTTGTTATCTTGTAAGGGGGTAGAAGAACACCTAGGGGTATCAGAAAAAACCCGCCATATTAGGGAACATTTCCGAAGTTGGTTAAAACTGACAGGGTAATTTAATCTCAAATTTAAGGGTACTTAACATATGTATATCTGTCCTTTTGCATGCTCTTCTGGGGATGACAAAGCCGTATGGAACCTTTGTTGGTCAGACTATAAGCCCTCTACGTGGGCTAAAAAATGACCGCGAGTAAAAGTGTCCTTATATGAGATATATATATAAATAAAGTGACGAACGATACCCTAATAATTTGAGAGGTGATAGACAGATCCTGGAGAGTAACAAAAGATCGTTATTCTCGTAGCAAAATCCCCTTAGGGTCGTTAGATTTGAAAGATTCCATATTTTCTTATATAAACAATTGTTTGTGAAAAAGTTAATAATGACCACGTCACTTGGTTTATATACAAGGGAGGTAACGTTTTAAAGTATTAATTGTTCTGTGATATTTATACAATTTTAAAGAGAAAAAGCTCACAAAGTATACCATTTCTTTAAAAAGATATTTTGTTATTATTAAAGTTATGTGTTGTACTGAAATTGTAAAAATTAATTGCTAAAGCTAAATTTATATATTTGATTTACTATATTATAGAAGCCTTTGCAGTTCTAATAACCTTGCGTGATATTAGTATGTGATTATAACCTCAATGTTTTTATGACCTGAAATTACTCAGACTGTTTAAGCTTAGGCCATAAGCACTATGGAAAAATACCGGTGAATACACCACAGGTCACCCATGCTTGATTAATAAATGTTAAACTTAAAAAAATACAAGACCTAAGTAGGTCACATCCCCTCTCTTTTGGAGAGGCAGATTTGTTACTCAAAAAACATATATTTAAGGAACAAATCTGACATCAAAAATGTTCCACAAAGGTAGTGAATAAAATTTCAATGCCAGGTGAAAACATCCCTGGAAATCAAAGGGAAGTAAGTCAACCTTTTACAAAACGTTAAAGGGGAATAACCCTTTCTAAAAATAATAATACATCAAATCCCTCAGACAGGGGTAATATAATATCTCCATGTGGATAAAATATATGGGAAACCCGACAAGGTAATTCCTTTATTTCAATGACCAGATACAACATCAACTGAGTCATGAGGAACATTTTATGATAACTTAATATATATAATGAAAAACTACATTTAAATAAGGTTCATTTGAAAATAATAAGAATATTCAAAAAGATTGTAGTTTTTAAAACAAATGTAAATCTCAGACCACTCATTTTCATGAGTCAGTGTAGATCACCTAAACAAATCACCTGTAAATGGTCATAACTAACCACAAAAATGTCACATGATCAATGTGGGCACAAAAAAAGAGTTACATTCTTGACAAACAGCCAGCCACAATATTATCAGTTCCTTTAATATGGGAAATTACAAGATTAAAGTTTTGGAAATACAAACACCATCTTAATATTCTGTTGTTCGCACCTTACTTAGTGGTGAATTTAAGAGGGTCATGATCAGAGAATACCATGACCGGATTTATTGCGGAAGTGACATAAACCTCAAAATGGACAAAACTGAAGCTAATACTTCCTTTTCAATGGTGGAGTAATTTTTCTGACTGTCATTCAGCTTTCTAGAAAAAAACAATTGGGTGGTCAATCCCTTGGTTGTCTTCCTGAAATAAGACTGAGCCAATGGCTAAGTCACTTGCATCAATAGCAAGTTCTAAAGGCTTGCTAAAATCTGGTGCAGCCATAACAGGTGCATTAGATAAAAATGACTTAATGTCTAAAAAAGCTTCATGACATTTAGTTGACCATACAAAATCAACACCCTTTTTTAACAAAGCAGTCAGGGGTTCAGCAACAGCTGAAAAATTCATGCAAAAACGCCTTTAGTAACCTGCCATCCCAAGGAACTTTTTGATTTCCTTACAATTTTTGGGAGGAGGCAACTTCACAATAGCATTGACTTTAGCTTCAATGGGCCTAACCTGGTTAGTTCCCACTTGATAACCCAAATAGGTAAGAGAACCTTTACAAAAGTCACTTTTATGCAGGTTTACAGTGAAATTAATTTCTGACAATTTTCTGAAAAGGTTAGTCAACTGAACAATCTGCTGTTCAAAGGAAT